ATTAAAAGAAAAAATAAGAAATTAAGGAGTAGGGAAAGTAGGAGCATGGATAGCAAGGAGGGTAGAATGGAAGTATCACTATGTCCCTAAACCCGTATATATAAAATACATGTTCATCTTACATTAATAAAAATTTTTAAAAGAATGTGAAAATAAACTACTCTAAAAAAGAAAGAATTCCTAAAACTTTTTCATATTTAATAAAAATATTAGTTTGTACAACCAAGAAGTTCGACAATCTTCAAGTAGGATAAGCTCAACAAGATCCACACCTACACACACAATAATCAAAGTATCAAAGACAGGGAGAATCATGAAAACAGCAAGAGAAAAAAGATTCATCATGTTCAAAGGGTCCTCAAAGAGATTAATGCTGAATTTTGGCCAGGGAAACCAGAAGGTAATGGAAAGACACACTCAAAGTGGTAAAATAGAAAGACTGTCAATTAAGAGTTCTCCTTTAAAAATTAAGTTAAGAAATCCTCAGGTAAATGAAAACATAGAATACTGTACTTTATGATGTGCCTATAAGAAATACTGATGACAGTGCTTCAGGCAGAAATGAAAGGACACCAAACAGTAACTCAAATCTCCACATGAAATAAAGAACATTAACAAAGATAATGAAGTAATTAAATATAATAGACAGAATAAATGTACTTGTTCATTTGATTGTAATTCTTTTTTCCCAAGTTGATATAGATTCAAACTAGATAGTTCCAAATTAAGATGTCAATTTTAATCCTAGAGCCACCACTAGGAAAATAACTTCAAAATAACAAAATATATGATAAGGGAATTAAACTAGAAGATGGACATTTAACACAAAAAACAGCAATGAGAAAAAAACTTGCAAGAGATACACAAAACAAATAGTAAAATAACAAACACAAATTCTACCTTATCATTAAGGTAGACATTAAGTGTAAACAAATTAAAGACTCCAAAAGACAGATCCTGGCAGAATATATTTTAAAAAACAAACACGTGATCCTACTATATGCTGTCTGTAAGATATATGTTTTATATTCAAAACAAAAGCAAGTTGAAAGTAAAGGATAGAAAAGGATATACCAAGCAAACAGTAATCAAATGAGAGCTGTAGTAGATAAAACATTATCAGATGAAATGCACTTTAAGTCAAAAATTGTTACTATAGACAAAGGACATTTTATAGTGACAAGTCAAGAAGACATAAGAATTATAAGTATAAAATGCACTTAAAAATCTCCAAAAGAAATACAGCAAAAACTGACACAGTTGAAGGAAAAATTAGATCGCCCATCAACAATTTGGAGATGTCAATACCCTATTTTCAATAATGGAATAACCAGACAGATCAACAAGAAAAAAGAACACCCAAACAATACAAATCAACTAGACCTAACAAGCATCTATAGAATACTTCCCCAACAGCAGCAGAATATACATTTTTCTGAAATCCACATAGAACAGCTGTTGGGCATAAAAGTTTGAATAAGTTCAAAAGTATTGAAATGATGCAGAGTATGACCTCTGACCACAGTGAGATGTAATTACAAATCAATAACAGAATGAAATTTGGAAAATTCCTGGATATGTGGAAGGAACTAAGCAAGATGAATATTCCTAAATACACAAAGTTCATGTCCCTGCTTTTATTCCAATTGAAACTGTAAATCTAAGGAAAACCTGCCTTTGAATCAAATACTTGAAACCTTTTCACAGACTAACTAGGCAAACACAAATGGTAAATGAAGATACCTATTTGCCCACCCTAACACACTATAACCCTAAATACCATATGCTAAATAAGTGTTGCACTAGGTCCTGTTTTAGATCTACAGCTCCTTTCTCTTCTCTATTTTAATTTGATTCAACTCTAATTAAAACACACAGCATGAATCCTATTAGTTTGGGCAAAAAATTGCTTTCTTCTTTCAGAGCCTAGTAATTTCCAAGGCCAGCTGAAATCTCAGGATAGATCACCATGCAAACTCTACAGACAGTTTTCAGGGTTTTGAAGTTTGAGAGCTGAAATTAAGATATAAAACAAATAATGAACCTTGAGATGAGCAAGAAACTTCTAGTAACTAACCTAAGAATCATATTGATTCATATTTAACAAATAATGCTGATTAACAGAAGCCCACAAGCAGTGGGCTGGTTCTCCTTAGCACTTGCCATTTAGGAGTTGCTAGACAAGGAAGTGGCACATAATGTCACCAAATTTTTCTGCATTTCCACCAAAGTATCCCACCAGAACATTCAAAAACCTTTTTTTAGGACTCCCATCTATAGAGTATTAAAAACTGGGGTATGGCAGGTTTACCTATAATAGAGAAGCAGTTCTAATGATTCAGAAGAAATTAAGAAATCTCTAAATGGCATCTAATAAAAGCAAGCTTGCAAACAAGCTGGGTCTATGACAGTAAAAATAAAATCTCATTACACTTTCTGGATGCAAATTTGTGGCATACAAGTACATACCTATGACTGGAAGTTAATGCAGTATTTCACATATGCTGTAGCAACACATTATACACACTGGCAATGAGGCTGTGAAGATCAATCCTTTCCTGGAAAACTAACAACTCCTTTCACTAACACTAATTGCTCCTACTTAATGATCTGCAATCATATGAGAGTTATTATTTTAGGTTATAACTGACTCATTTTTCAAAGAGCCTGGGAAATGAGATGTGGTCACTCCCCATTTCCTAAATATACATAAATATGTTAACTCAGTCTTGGGAATCAGCTGCAGACACTTATAGGATATATTAATTGCATAATTTATTTTAGTTTATTTTTCAATAAAATTCATAGTTTATACAAATAAAAGATGTTCCATTAGTTTTTCTTCTACTATTGTGAGTATGTGAGACAGAAGCAACTGCAGCCATCTGGTCAACTCTAAGGAGCATCTAAATGAAAAAGAACCAATTTCAAGGAGGCCTAATTCAAGGAGGACAAAAGAGGAACCTGGGACTTGGTGGCATTATATGTGCTTCTCCATAAAGCTTCATCTGGATTAAGTTTGGATTTTTCAGAAAAGTGATTTTGCTGGACTCATTAAAACTCACTGACGGAAGGACTAGCCCCATCCAGTCCAACGAACATATCTTAGCCTGCTGTGGGACAAGAACTGTGGAGACAGGCATGGTTTAGCAATATCTTTATAGCTAGACTTCAATCCCAGTCCATAATCTGACCCTTCCAAGGCACTGGTGCTGGAAAGGGAGCCTTGGTGATAGTCCTTACTACCTACTTTGCTCCAAGCCCCAGCATAAGGGATGCTGGAGGGAACATCAGGAAGAAACAAACCAGTTCCCACTGCAGAACTCTTCAAGGGTTTGAGAACTGGAACACAAAAGCCAGAGTATAGAAGGAGCTAAACACAGAACCAGCTGAAAGTTCATATAAAACATTGTTAGATATGCACTCTTCCCCAACTTGCACAGCCACACAGCTTCCCTTCCTCAATCTCCACAAAGTACTGAAGATTTACATTCAGTGTAAGTTGAACCAGGAGGATTTTGGTCTCAAGAAGACCTTCAGAAATGCCATGATGAAAGCAGAGGGATTAACTAAAACATTTAGAAGAACTACTCTTCCTACCCCCCATCTCCTCCCTCCTTGCCCTGTCAAATCTATTCTTCCTCTTAGCTCCAATAACAATGGACATCAGGTTTATACAAGACTATAAATGACAACAGAAAAATATTTATAGAATCTAAAAGGTGAGGAAGTCACCTAACCAGATGGTTTGGTCTCAGCCTAAAACCTTATAGGAAAGTCCATCCACTAGTCAATGAATTACATTCATGTACATTATCAGCTCTTTAGAGCTCTACTCTCCTAAAATGAGCAAGCAGCTCTAGATGATCAAGCATTTGAAAAAGGTCTTTAACATCAAAGATAAAGACAAAAATGAACAACTAGAAAAATATGGATATGTAAATATGATATATAAATCACAAAAGGAGAACCTCAAGAGTTCTCATTAAAATCCTTGGAGAAGATATTCTACTTGTGAAACCAGGGGCAGAATGCTATTTTTAACAGTAAGAATAACATTCACAAAATAAGACAATGACATTGGAACTATTAGAAATGAAAAATTAATCAGAGGAGATGATAACATCAAGTAAATCTTGAAAAATAATAGATAAAAGAAGCAAAGAAATGGATGAGAGAGCATAAAGATTTATAAGAAAAAACAATGAGTAATCCAATTGTTCTAACAAGATGATAACAACAATTGTAAATAAAGAAAATAGCGGCAATTGATTATCAAAAAAAGAGAAAACTCCCTAGAATTAAAAAACACGCATCTCCATATTGAAAGGACTTGTTATTAAGTGCCTTCCACAATCACTTCAGACACTGAGGTTCCTGAAGACAATATCAATATTCAGTTGAAAGAAGAAAAGTTAAAACATCAACATAAGGAAGTGACTTTTCTGGATTCTGAAATGCCAACAGCAGATAAATCTGCTTTTGTAATAAAACAAATCTTTGAAAAGTTCACGGAGAAATGCATATTATGAAGAAAACTATATGTGGATTTTGAAAACATCAGTTCCAAATCCCATAAACTTTTTGAGGTACATGCACATGTATTTATCTCAAATAACTATGAGTTAAATATCTTTTGTGCATTTAAAGAGCTTCCTATCTTAAAGAAGCCAAATACACACAGGTAGATCCTCCACGGGTATTATATTCTGATAGCGCTTATAATAAGTAAGGTAGACTGTCTTTATTCTGCTGTACCAGAAGCTTATTTTATTAGAAACATCTATTTTCTTAAATCTCAGTTAATCTTATGTATATAGGTTTTGAATATATTCCCTAATAATATTTTTTTCAATATTTTAAAAACAAAGAATTAAGAACACTAATAGTGGCTAATTTAATTAATAATGAAATCAAGTCATGAGAATATGTGTTAGCATTAAATATACAAACACTCTCCACATTTTAAATTAATTCTCTCTCAGGGATCACACACTCACCTTGAGGATCAACTTCTTTAGCTAGCTTCAGTGCATCTGAGTTTGCAAGATCAGTATTGGCTGGGGTGACAGCCAAAATCAGACAGTTCTCCCTTGTGATGAACTGCATAATCATATCTCTGATCTGATACTCAATATCTGGTGGCTGATCTCCCACAGGTACTTTAGTTATTCCAGGTAGGTCGATCAGGGTTAGATTTAACACTGTAAGAAAAGAATCAAGAGTCTTATACACAGCTTCAATGCTAAAAGAAAACAACAATGCAGAATCACCCGAGCTTCACACATCATGCATGTGAAAGACTCCAACCCAAGTATGCATAGAATACAAAAAGGTTGTGCTAGTTTTCTCTATTTTTGTGATATCATTGTGCTGTAACAAATGATCATTTTAACATAATTTAAAACACACTGACTTGCATGTCTAACAGTTTACTCAGAGAGCTGTCATATCCTAGATGTTGTTAACTGGGGGTTATAACTAAAACACTAACAATAAATACATATATTCCCTGCCAGTCTTGTATATCATCTTCAAATAGTATAAATATTCTCAGAATAAGCTATTGCTTTCCCTTCAAAATCATCATATATTATTTGGAGAAGATTCTTCATGTAGCCTATTGGAAGGCTGTTATAGCCTCCCCTGGTGCTCTGAGTTGAGTGAGTAGATTGTAGGAACAGTTAGGATGTGACTCCATCAAACCTCTCCGTTCACAACAGTGTTGGCACCACGTCCTTTGGGGAGTAATAACTGAGCTTATGTCATTCATGCTCTATTTTAAAAGAAACAGAACTAGGAAAAAAAAAATGGAAACAAGAATTTGTCCAGGGGCTGGTGCTGTGGTGTAGTGGTCTAAGTCTCCACCTGCAGTGCCAGCATCCCATATGGGCACAGTTCTCATCCTGGCTGCTCCTCTTCGATCAGCTCTCTGTTAATGGCTTGGGAAAGCAGTAGAAGATGGTCTGAATGTTTGGGCCCCTGCACCCAGGTGGGAAACCCAGAAGAAGCTCCTGACTTCATAATGAAGGACCGGAGTAACTATGTTTCCAAAAAGTACCTCCATTAGGAGAGGCAGGCCTGACTTCCAGTAAAAGCAGCCTCACTCTGGGGAAACCTAAAGTTACAACGGAAAATCCCCTGGGTCTGACCCAAACAGGAACAGCCACATTTGATCTGGAAGTACCAGAGGTGACCCCAGCCAATCCACCGTTACCCCACACCCCTTGATGACGTAACCTGGCTTTAAAAGAGGCTCCCAAGCACAGCTCCGGGCCTTCCTCTGCCCTCCGCTGAGCGGTTGAGCAGACGGGTCCCTGCTGCAGCTTGTACTTCCGAAATAAACCTTGCTCTTGCATTTTGGTGTGTTCAAGTCTGGCAGCATTCATGGGGATCCGATGATCTGGTCACAACAATAACAACTCAGCTCCGGCCATTGCAATTATTTGGGGAGTAAACCAGCAGATGGATGATCTTTCTCTCTCTCTGTAACTCTACTTATCAAATAAATTAAAAAAATCTTTTTTTAAAAAAATTTATCCTACTAGAAATTGTCAGAACAGAGGCTTTTCCCATCATGTATCATGAATTGCTCATCTAATTTATAAAAGTTTCCATGGATAGTCTGGGTGGAAACACAACCTGAATCCTTGGGAAGAAAATAATTTAAAATATATAGGCCCCTCAAACTGTACTCTATATGTTGTGGGGGGGGGGGTGCAAACTGTTCAAATCTGTGCTCAACATGGAGTTGGTCCTCTGTATATAAAATCAAGCTAAACACTCTGGCCTCAGAATCAGCCCTTAAGGCATTCGTATCATGTGTCTCAAAGATTCTGCAAAGACTGATGACATTAAAACTGGAAAATGTATACCTCTTTCAAATTCTACACATTTCTAACAAACGTAATGGGAATTTCTTTTTTCATTTTTTTTTTTTTTTGACAGAGTGGACAGTGAGAGAGAGAGACAGAGAGAAAGGTCTTCCTTTTTCCGTTGGTTCACCCCCAATGGCCGTTGCGGCCAACGCGCTGTGGCCAGCACACCATGCTGATCCAAAGCCAGGAGCCAAGTGCCTTCCCCCAGTCTCCCATGCAGGCACAGGGCACAAGGACCTGGGCCATCCTCCACTGCACCCCCCAGCCACAGCAGAGAGCTGGACTGGAAGAGGAGCAACCAGGACAGAATCCGGTGCCCCGACCAGGACTAGAACCGGGGTGCCGGCACTGCAGGCGGAGGACCAGCCTATTGAGCCGCGGGGCTGGCCAATGGGAATTTCTAAAATGAGTAACCAAATTCTGATTTTTTAACAAGTCATCTCCTCTTCATAAAGATTCTAAGAGTATTTATGGCAGTATCCAAACATTATCCTAGACCCTACCATTTGTATCCTCTATACAAATAATCCATGTTACTTAATATAATAACATTTTTGAAAGAGTAATTTTACTTACCATGTGGAGAATAAACTCGTAAATTAATGGGTATGGGGGAGATGCCTTTATTCATCCCAGTCACACGATCTGTTTCTGCTTCAATCTCATGGCGAACTTCATCAAAATCTGTAAACTTTTTTCCTTTGCAATGCAGAAATTCACCATATTCTATAAAAAAAAAAAAAAAACAAATTAAAATGATCTAAATTTATGGATTTTGGGCCATAATTTTTGGAGAACAGTATTACTTTAATTTTCAACACATTCAGTGTTGTCTCCTTAGTCATCAAAATAGAACACAGTAGTTCTAAGAGTCACAGTGAATACCATAGAAATATTAAATATTCAAATGCTATCAATACTAAATTTGATAACTTTCAAATAAGCAATTAAGTACTATAAGCAGTTCTTATATTATCTAACCTATAAAATAACTTAAAGATAATTGTGACTGTCTATAGGATAAAACAAACAATAGCTGCTGACTGTCAAAGTGCTAATCTGTACTCAAATGATAGGAAAGGTACAGACAGAAGAGACAGCTTCATACTGCAGTGTTCAAAGAATGGAAGTAGGGATGAACTGACTACTGAAGAATGGGGAGGAGTTCATTCATGAAGGGAGAAGGAACTGTCTTTCAGAAAACCAGAGAATCTTCTTAGCTTCAACAACCCTGGCAGGCTAACTATGTACCTCTGCAGAGATCCATCCATGGATAGGGTACTGAGGCTGTGACCTCTTTGTGGAAAATTCTCATTGGAAAATGTTTCTTTCTACTGGTATGAAATCTTTGTTCTTGACATATTCCCTCAGTCCAGCTTTTGTCCACTGGAGCCATTCAGACAATCTTCCATGTAAAAGTCCAGGGACAAAGATGACTGTCAACCCCCAGAATCCGTGCCCTTGCCAGGCCTCTCTCACCATGCTTCCTTGCTTATCTGACCATTGCTCAGACTACATGGTGGCCAAGACTTCCCTGCACAGCTCAGCTCTTCAGGACCAGAAGAGCCAAAGACTCCTGATATGGGCCAAGGATATTCTGCTTTACTTTACCCAAGAACAGAAATGATCTAGCATTTTGGATGTCAGAATGACAGCTGGAGACAGACTTCATATCTGTGTTTCCTGCCAATGTGGATGGATATAAATATTTTTCTGTTTTTGTTTCTCCATAAAATTAACTACCATTAAAAAAAAAAAGAATTATTTGAGAGAGAGAGAGAATGAAAATCTTCCATCCACTGGTTCACTCCCCTAATGGTAGTAAAGTAAAGGCTGGGACTGGGTCAGGCCAAAGGCAGGAACCCAGCACTCTACCTGGGTATATCCCACATGGGTGGCAGGGGCCCAAGTTCTTGAGGCATGCTGATATTTTCCCCAGGTGCATTAGCAGGGAGCTGGATCAGACGTGGAGCTGCTGAGACTTGAACTGGCACCCATATGGGATTCCAGTATTGTGGGTGGTGGCCCAAAGCACTGCACCACAATGCCAGCCTCCGTGCATTTTCTGAAAAATGGCAAGCTTTAAATCAACTGGGAGTTCATTCTTCTAATGGTGAAAGTGCGCACAACAGTAAGTATTCAACAGGCTGCAGAGATCTTGCCTGAAGAGATAACTGCATCACTTGGCATATTCTTTAACATATTTACCCAGACAGGTGCTATTTTATAACATCATAAATTCCCAGAAGATACAGCCTTAATTTTACTACCCATTCAACCCTTAATCCAGTACCATGTGAACATAAGACTTTAAAGATAAGTGGAAGATTAAATGAGAAAAAAAATAAACATCAGAGGTCAAATTCCACAAATAAGAATAAATAAGAAAAAATGAGTGAGAAATATTTCAGAAGAAATGGAACTGTCTTTTTCAATTTAATATCTTCTGAGGAAATAGACACGTAATGCCTTACGCTGATCACAATTACTCCTGTCATCGAGTTAATAAGCTTCTTATTATGGGGACTATATTTTCAATTGTTATTTATCAGTTAACATCTAAAGTAACACAAATGGGACTTCTTTTGTAGCCACTAGATGGCGCTTACTTGCTTTCTCTGAAAGAAACTAATGTCCTTCCAAAAGGTGGAAAAATCAACACAATTTTCAAATTAGACTTAAATTAGTTACTAGGCTCCTCAAAATGGCTTTATCTTGGATTTGAGATATTCTAACTGTGCAGGACCATTTAAAATATTTGTATTTTTTTAAAGGATAGGGTCCCATAAGCAGATTTAGGGATAGATACTTGTATTTGTTTATTTATTCTACTATTTATCAAGCTTCTACCACTTACTTGCTAATCATTGCGTTAGAAACTGGGATAAGGAAAGGGGGAAAAATTGAGTCTGTAGCCCCACAAAACCTAAAACCTAATGAGGTGAAACAGTAAACAATGTGTGTGCCAACTGATAAAGGATACAGAAAAATAAAATAGGAGGGGATATTAAATGTCTTGGAGGAGGGAAGGATTGCTTCATTATATGGTGTAGTTGAAGAAGGTTCTCCTATATGATAAAGTTTATTTGAGCAAAGACTCAGGAAAGGGAGAGAGCAAACAATGCTTTATGTAAAGGCATCCAGGAAGAGTACCCAGAACAGATGACACTGGGCGTGCTGAGAAGAGTAAGAAGGCCAGTGTGGCTGAAGCATGGGGCATGGGGAGAAAGGCAGGAGATGAAGTCAGAGCTGCAGTCCAGATCTGGATGGTGGGAGGGTCTGCAGACCACCCAAGAATTTTGGCTTTCACTCTGAGATGGCAGACCACCAGAAAAATTTGGGATTGAGAAGGAACATGATGTGACTGAGGTTTGAAATGAATGACTATGGCTACCAGATTGAGGACAGACGGTGGGGAGCAAGAAAGAAAGCTTACTGTTGGAATAATCTAGGCAAGACATGATGAGGCCTAGACTAGGATGGCAAGAATTGGTTAAGTTCTAATTATTTTGGAGGTGAAAAAATGACAGGATTAGCTTATGAATTAAAGCTGAAGTATGGCAAAAACAGGTGTCAAGGATAACTTCAAGGAGTGTATTTACCAGCTTTTCATTTCTACAATGAAATAATGGAGGCATTAACTTGATAAAGAGAAAAGGTTTATTTAGCTCACAAGTTTGGAGGTTCAGGTCCACGACTAGGCAACCCCATTGATTTGGCCTCTGATAAGAGTGCAGCTCAGAGGAAGGATCACGAGGAGAGACAGATACTGAGCCAAACTCGGGCTTTTATAGCCAACTCAAGAGAACTACCTTCTGATAGCACAGTTCCAGTTACCTATGGACCTCCCACTGGGCCCACCTCCTAAACACCACAACTGGATTAAGTTGCCACCCTGTTAGTATCATTAACTTATGAGATTGAGGTTTAAATATCTGTATGAGTTCAGGAACCAAATCCATTTTCAAACCACAGCAAGGAATTTAACATCAACAGCCAGAAGAATTTTGACACAGAAAAAGACTGAAGGGAAGAGGCTGGGAAGACAGGGGAAAAGATGAGATAGGGGTTGAGAATGAAAAGTTTTGTTAAGGACCTTTTACATACGCAGAACTGCAGCTAATGGCTGAGAATCTCAGAGCTGTAGGAGACGTTCACGCAGCCAATCATCTGAAAGGTGCGTGTTTACTCTGAAAACTTTCCAGAAGATGACGGCCAAGAACTTGAGGAAAAGGGCAGCCTTTTCCTGAGTACACACCAAAAAAAGGCCTTTGGGCCTAGACTCAGGAGTCTTTTCAGCCAGGGAGAAATCTCAGGTAGCAATATGTATTTGGGATTCATTAAAACCAGGCACACAGAAAATCACTGAGTGAGAGTAGTAGGGTCAAAGCACTGGGCCCTGTGTTTTCTAATGTTTGGAGGTCAGGAGATGAAGATTGAGAAGGTTGCAGAGGTACCCAAAGAAACAGGTGAGTCAAAGCTGAGTGAGGGGAGTATTCCATGAAGGAAGGAGACCTTCTACTCCACCAAACACCTGCCAACATGTCAGGGAAGATGAGCACAGGAATGAATGGTTCATAGAATTTCACAACTTGAGGGGCCTTCGAGAAGTTGACAAGAGTTGCTACAGGCAAGTGGGGGGAGTTTGATAAAAGCCTGACGGAAACAGAATTAAGGGAGAAAAAGAAGAGATGAAAGAAAATTATTATAGATTTCTTTAAAGATTTATTTTATTTATTTGAAAGGCAAAGTTACAGAGTGAGAGAGAGAGAGATCTTCCATCTGTTGGTTCACTCCCCAAATGGCTACAACAGCCAGGGCTGGGCTAGGCTGAAGTTATGAGCCTGGAGCTTCTTCTGGGTCCCCCATATGGGTGCAGGGGCACAAGACTTGGGCCATCCTCTGCTGCTCTCCCAGGTACATTATCAGGGAGCTGGATCAGAAGTGGAGCAGCCGGGATGCGAATTGGTACCGATACAGGAGGCCGGCATTGCAGGCAGCAGTTTTAACCCATTATGTCTAAACACTGGCCGCTATAGACATTTCTTTTAAGGAACAGAAGTGAAGTGACAGCTAGAAAGGGATGCAAAGTCAAGGGAAAGTTTTGTGAAGATGGAAAAACTAATAGCATGTTCATGGGCTGATGGTAACAAATCAGCATTAAAAGAAAAATGATGATCCAGACTGAGAATGGACAAATGTGGAAGTGATATCTTGGAAACAGACAAGGGAACCAGAAAGAAACATGGGGTCAGCGCTGTGATGTAGTGGGTAAAGCCATGGCCTGCAGCGCCAATATCCCATATGGGTGCCAGTTCAAGTCCTGGCTGTTCCACTTCCAATCCAGCTCTCAGCTATGACCTGGGAAAGCAGTAGATGAAGGCCCAAATCCTTGGGCCCCTGCACCCACGTGGGAGACTCAAAAGAAGCTCTTGGCTCCTGGCTTTGGATTGGCCCAGCTCTGGCCATTGCAGCCATTTGGGGAGTGAACCAGAGATGGAAGAACCCCCCAACCCTGATCTGCCTCTCTGTAAACCTGCCTTTCAAATAAAAAAATAAATATTTAAAAGAAAGAGAGAGAGAGAGGAGGGAGGGAGGGAGGGAAGGTAGGAGGGAGAGAGGAAGGAAGGGAAGAAAGAAGAAGGAAGAAGGAAGGAAGGAAGGCAGGAGCCACTGCACCCATGGGAACAGTAAGGAAGCAGACCTATGAGTGTGGATGAGACAAA